TGCTGTGATTAGGTGACTTAGAGGATGTGGGACCAATAGGTCAGATTGTCATGGTCATGCACATTTTGGGGAACAGGGTATGTAAAAAGGTAACACAGGAAAGTCTCAATTGGCATTTTTCTGCAGTAGGGCAGAACTGGAGGTGGAGAAGCAAACAGTAGGAATCTGAAATGTGAAAATAATGCTAATTTTAATCTCTAATGCTGACTTGATGTTCTGTTAAATCAATTTGACAAACTTCTTCTTGCTTATTTTTCCTCATCAGGTATGACCAAGAGAATAGTTAATGCAAAGATTGCATGCCTTGACTTCAGCCTACAGAAAGCAAAAATGAAGCTTGGTGTTCAGGTTGTTATCTCAGACCCTGAGAAGCTGGACCAGATAAGGCAGAGGTGTGTGGAAGCTTGAATAACTGAGGCAGTGGGGTTTCACAGGCTTGATTTGGTCTCTTCAGTTGAGGTGGCTCAATCTAATTTTGGCTGAGTGCAAGAGGTAAAAAATGTTTTGAATGCTAACATTTCCCACCAATACCAAATAGTAATGTAAAAAGCCTTCACTTCTGGAGGCAGAACTAGTATTAAGTCAGTTTTCAAGAAATGCAAGTATGTTTGTGCAGTGGTCCATTCTTGCAGAGTTCTGCATTAAGGTTTCAGGAAGTTGGCTGACAAGATGTGATGGTATATTTTTTAATACCTTTTTATAACTTTGGCATTAATCTTTGCAGAGAGTCAGATATTACCAAAGAAAGAATCCAGAAGATTCTGGCCACCGGTGCCAATGTGATTCTCACCACGGGAGGTATTGATGATATGTGTCTGAAATACTTTGTTGATGCTGGAGCTATGGCAGTACGAAGAGTCGTCAAAAAGGACCTTAAGCGGATTGCTAAGGCATCAGGAGGTATGTCTATGTAAGAATAAATGGTTTATAAATTTATTCTTCAAAGTAGTAGCTGTTGTTAAGGTATTTCTTAACTCATTTTTTAAAATACAACTTCTTAACCTTCAAGGTCAGGATGAGTAAAGCTGAGCCACTTCTTTTTAGCTTTTAGCTTTTCCTGTTGCTTTTAAGTGATCTTTGTCAAAGTAGTAGTATTGTAAAACTTGATTGTTACTGTGGGAGGAGAAGAAGCTGCCTGGCACTGTGAAGACTGGCCTTTTGTGGAAATAGGAGCCATAATCTGTGTTTGTTTAGAAGTCTTTACTATGCTTGCATTCATAAGCCTCTGTTTAGACAGTTAAGTACATTGTTTAGATAGTTCAAGACGAATAAAGAACTCCAAAATCACTAAATCATACTTTTAAAAAAATCTGGTCCTGTACATATTTTCATCTGTCAGTTCTGAAATTTGGAAGAAAACTTTTTCATTGTGGTAAAGCATGGGAACTTGTACTGGCTGTGAAAAAAGAAGTGCTGTAAAAGTTGAACAAAAGGAGCAGTTTATCAGTGAGAAATACTGAATTGCTGCCTGAGAACTAGAAATGTTAAGAAAAATCTATTCAACACAGCTTTTATTTCTGCTTTTCTTTCTGTACACCTATTCAGGGAAGTGGGCAAAGGGTGATGTGCAGGAATTGAATGTTAACTTCACTTTTTTATTTGTTTGTTTGTTAAAGCAACCATATGTTCAACCCTTGCAAACCTTGAAGGTGAGGAGAGTTTTGAGGCATTAATGCTGGGACAGGCTGAGGAAGTGATTCAAGAGAGAATCTGTGATGATGAGCTGATTTTAATCAAGAAGTAAGGATCCTTTTAAAAATACTCCATTTTGTATATATTCTCTACTAAGTTTGAGATATAATTGCATTTATTTACTTGATGCTATCTGAGTGGTTGGAGTAGTTATACACATAGGAAAATAGTTATACAAAAACCCAGTGCAAATTAGAGGTGAAAGTATCAGTATTTAATATCTTTTGCTGGAGCTGGATAAGTTTTGTGAACTACAGTAAATGAGACAATCAGATTGCTAGGCAGTTTTTACTTAAATTTTTGTTAATAAACAAATATTTCTAAACTGGCTTCCCTTTAGAGATGGTAAAGGGAAATAGGTACCATCTGAGTAATTTCATTTGAATAAGGAGGTGTGAACTAAATCTTTCCATTTGTTGTGAAAGACAGTATTCACTTCTGCTGCTGTCACTGTTGTCAGGTACCTGAAGACTTAAATATCAATTCATTTAACAAGAACATAGTTTGGATAATAACTTTCCTGCTGCTTCAGTATCCCTTCTGGGTGTTCATGTTCCTGTGGTGTCATTTGAGCATGAATGACACTCTGCCCATGGCACTTGTGTGTCAGCTACATGTGACAGCCTTTTCTGTAACATTGGTAGTCGTTAATTTACTTGAGGGCTGTCCAAAAGGGATCTTTCTTACTATCTAAGTATGCTTTCCCCTCTTTGATGGGGAAACATCTTGTCATGTCACTGAGTCTTTCTTCAAAAGATTAAAATTCAAACTAGATCCATGCATGTTAAACATTAAAATGGTGACTAAGTTACAATGTATGTATCCTGCGAGGGGCATAACAATGTTAAGATTTTATTTTAAATGTTGAAATAATGAGGCTCAACTGAACTTAACTTTAGAAGAAAAAATTTACCAAGAAGAGTTTTAATCTAGGTTCCATCCAACACAGCTGACTTCTGATTCCTTTTCTTCTTAGTACAAAGGCTCGTACTTCAGCATCAATTATCTTGAGAGGAGCCAATGACTTCATGTGTGATGAAATGGAGCGATCTATACATGATGCTCTCTGTGTTGTCAAAAGGGTTTTGGAATCCAAATCTGTTGTCCCAGGTGGTGGTGCTGTAGAGGCAGCACTCTCAATATATCTTGAAAATTATGCAACCAGCATGGTAAGTCTTGCACAAAGGAGCAATGTTGTGTATGTGTTGGACTTGCACCATGAATCTCCAGGCATTTATTTTCATCTACTAGAAGTCATTTCTGTGGTTCATGAAAACATAATCACCTTACAGAATCTAAGATGGTTCTTTAAAATGGAGGATATTAGTTAATTCTTTCTCTCATAATTAGATTCCATGGGTTTTTTGACCCAAACACAGGTTCTGCATGTGAAAATCCCTGCCTATTAGTGCTGTTCTTGATTCTGGCTCTGTTTTTTCCTCTCTTGATGTAGTATCGGTTTAAAAACTTTTTTCCTCTTTCTAGGGATCACGTGAACAACTTGCAATAGCAGAATTTGCAAGATCCCTCTTAGTAATTCCAAATACATTGGCAGTAAATGCTGCTCAGGATGCCACAGATCTTGTTGCAAAGTTGAGAGCATTCCACAATGAGGCTCAAGTTAACCCAGATCGCAAAAATCTGAAATGGCAAGTATCTGTCTGGTAAAAGTGATGTGGGTTGGTGACCTACATGGAAAACTGTTCTCCCAGTTTACTGAACCATGATTTGCATAGTAAAAAAAATAAATGTATGTTATCAGTGAACTCCTTTTCCCCTGCCCTTCAGTTGTGTGTATGTATTGCTGTAATGAAGCAGTAGCTACCCAGCATATTCCCAGCTGTATTTCTGCTGTTTCTCCCTCTCCATCTGACAGCATTCCTTCTTTCCAGGATTGGTCTTGACTTGATCAATGGAAAACCTCGTGATAATAAGCAAGCTGGTGTCTTTGAACCAACCATGGTCAAAACTAAGAGCCTCAAGTTTGCAACAGAAGCTGCAATTACCATTCTTCGAATTGATGATCTTATTAAACTGCACCCTGAAACTAAAGAAGAGAAAGGAGGGTGCTATGAGGATGCAGTTCAGTCTGGAGCACTTGAAGAATAACTTAGGCTTTATTTATGTTTGTTTCACTTACACTTCCCACTCTTATAACTAAAATGTTAATAAAACAAGTGGTTGAATGTTGCTGCTATTTTCTTGTGAACAAACTTAATTTTTGAAAGGAAGCTTGGTCGTTGCAGTGAGAATTTAGGCTCTAGAGTGTGTTAACAACTAGTGTGCCTGCAGTAATCGCTGACCTCTTTGTCAAGTCAGTGCTTGAGTGCCTAAAAGTAATGGTGTAAGCTTACTTACATTTAGGCAAAACAAACAAAATGTGAGCTGTTAAAATGTTATTAGAAGTTTATTAGTAAAATGCTTCAAAGCTAGTTCATACTAGCTGTTCATTCACTCCCTCACATTTATCTCTCAACACACATGGCTATTCCCATTCCTCCTCCTATGCAGAGAGCAGCAACACCACGTTTTCCACCAGTTCGTTCCAGTGCATAGAGGAGAGTTACAAGGATGCGACAGCCAGAGGCGCCCAGAGGGTGGCCAAGAGCAATAGCTCCACCTTGTACGTTGATCTAAAAGAAAAAAAAAAAAGCCAACATAGACAGTCAAGAACATTTAACTGGCTTAGCTGATTTTCAACATATATTACTTCACTGGGATCTTGCTCTTAATTTTTTTGTGAGCTTGAAACGCCAAACCTCACTTCATGCAAGAAAGTGCATATGAGTGCTACAGCTGGTAATAATCAGTATTTCTTCTGCAAGGGTGCAGTCTTCACTCTGAAGATAAGAGGTGAATTTAGGGAGGGGAGAATAATACCCATGTTTTTTGCCATCACTGAAATAATACTTGAGGCAGCAATTTCAAATTCTGAATTAAGTATGTTTGAGCAGTTGCCTAGATTTGCATAAAAATCCAGTGCAGCAACCCTGGAAGTTGTTCAGCTGGGACACTGCTAGCAAAGCCAGCGGACTGAGCAGTGTGAGGAAATGCCTGCTGGGGCTCCCACCCTATTTGCTTACACCAAAGGGATTGCAAGAGAGCTGTGCTCATCTTTACAATCCACATGCACAGAATGGGACAAGTTTGAGTTACAGGAGGTAAGCTAATGCCAGCCTACAAATCATTACCTTTTCTGGGTTTACTTTCAGTTCTTTTGAAATTGCAATAGATAGTGACGCAAAGGCTTCATTAATTTCAAACAGGTCAACTTGTTCCAGAGTCCAGCCAGCTTTGTCAACCTGAGAAAACAGTGCAAATAAGACCTTACTATCTTTTAGCTCTTCCTCAGCACCAGAGGAAGCTTTTCATAAGATGTAAATTGTGTGGTTTGAAGCTTTGTAAAGTTGAAGGAAAACAATTTTTTATAGCCAGTGTTGATGACAGAATTCTTGAAGACCACAGTGTCAGACAAGTCAGTACAAGTCAGTACAATAATGCTGGCTGCTCATAAAAATCTTGACTGATTTTATACGTAGTAGCAGTGGTGGTGCAATTGTGAGAATCAAACTGTATCTGGTGCCCTTACTACAACAAACACTGCATTCAGAAGCAGGCTTTAAGAGATCAAAAGCAACTTTTTAGGACATAGTCTGACTCCATTAGGGAGTCTCTTAACAGAGACTTTTAAACAGGAAATAGTAAGGTGTCAACCATTAGTGATCAGTGCCACATCTGATTTGTCCAGTCTCTCCTGCCTTTACATTGAAAGCTGGCACTTTAAGCTTTTCACAGGTGACTATTTTTGAAGATGGTTTGGCTCATGTTTTCACTTGAGAAATCTGTGATGCAATTGCCTACTCTGGTACAGGCATAGGCATGTTTCACATGTGTACATTTTTACTTCCACTCACTTTGTTTCTAACAGCAATACTTTATCAGCAGAATCATCACTATTGATGTTTCACAACCTAGGCTGGCCAGACTGGTGCACCTCTGAGACTGTAGTCAAGGAGGACAGCCTTTTTCTATAGATGAAATAGACAGTATGGAGTATCCCATTCTTCTGGGAAAAGCTTAAGATACACAATTGTTATTGTAACACTTAATGTATAACATAGTCCTTCTCTTACTATAAAGTGCTACTCTAAAATTCTGAAGTGATAAACAATACATGGGGGGTCTGAACATTTGGTAATACACATTAGAAAGTTTAATCGCAGAATCACAGGATATTCTGTGTTGGAAGGGACCCATGAGGATCATCAAGTCCAACTCTTAAATAAATGGCCCATGAAGGGATTGAAGCAACAACCTTGGTGTTAGGACCATGCTCTATGAAGCAGTGTGCCCTTTCTCATAGTATGTATACAGTTAGAGGTACAGCTTGTCTGTCCCACAGTTTATACTAAAACTGTATTGTATATGCAGCCACTGCACATCCTTCATTTGAAAGAGTGCTTTGAGATCTGGTAAGAAAAAGCTTAAGCATTATAGTTCTGATTTTCTTGTCAAAAGCCACAGAGCTTGGTGAGTTCAGGTCACACCTCCACATCACCAGGACATTACAGAGGTGAACAAAATAAGACCTTTACACAGTATTAAAAATATAAGGAACATTGAAGCAAATCTGTTCTTAGCTCTTTCCATGCTCACTTTCATAGCTAAGCTTTAACAAATAATCAGCTGAGGCTGCTATGGGTTATGGATGCATTAGCAAGCAGTGCAGTACCAGCAGGGCTGCTCCCTCAGACACTGAGAACCTTGTCCTGTGGACTGAGCACTGAGCACATCAGTGGCTCAGTAATGCTCTGAGCACATTAGATGTGGTTTTGGAATGCAACTTCCTGTTTAGTTACACCTGAAAGGAATCCAGTTTGTAAGCTGCAGGCATTTTGCAGGCCATACTGAAACCCAAAGGGCACTGTCCCGTTTGCTAATGCAGATGGCACTCAGTGGCCCTTCCCTCAGTGTTGTACTATTGCAAATACATTCAGGCAATGATCTGAAAATTAACCTGGCCAGACACAGCATCAGAACCATATCACTGCATTAGGTTAGTTACAGCATCCCTGACATTTGATCTTTAGCCTCCTCGGTTATCTAGGTACCTTTCCACAAACCTGACTAGTTTATGCTCTGAAGTCCATTTATACACATATGCATTTGGGTTTTCTTTTTTCAACAAGCAGGTGCTAGCCTAGTAGCACTAGGATTCCTAATCTTATATACTACACTATTTTGAGTCTGTTTTTCACATAGTTTACTTTTTTCCTACTAACTTTTCTTTAGAACAGGGTAAAACCAAAACATGGCCAGAAAACAAAAAGCAATTAAAACCAAGAGTTTTAGCATCATGGATAACATAGATAAGTGATTACTTACAGCTTTCCTTATTGCTGAAATGGGCCCTACTCCCATAATAGATGGATCTATACCTGTCTGAGCCCAAGATACAATCCGAGCCAAAGGCATAAGACCTCTCCTAGCAGCTTCTGATTTCTTCATTAGAAGAACAGCTGCAGCTCCATCATTTAAACCTGTGGAATAACAAACAACTTGTATCTATTTGTTGGACTTTATGGCTTTTACTGTACCACTTTCTCCTGCTTGCATAAAATCACAATCTAGACAAAACAAAAATCACACATAATTTTCTGGTTTAGGTTGGTACTGCTCATACCAGCTAAGTCTGTTCTCTGCCACAAACACTTGAAACTATATCGCTGTAAATGTGACACATTTGTGATTCTATTTGGAAAGCAGCAGGTGGAAGAATCAAAGCAAAATCTGAAAAATAAGTACATCAGACTTGTTAGGCAGGCTTTGGAAGGAGCAGCATAAAGCCACAGGAAGATATTTAAAAGCTGCTTGTGGCAGTCCCATAGGAGTAACATTTTCAAACATGAATCATTGAGTTTTCCACTGTCCAAACCTGCAGTGTCAGAAACCCCTAGACAGTTTTAAAAGGAAATAGTCCTTCCAGCCTATCAAATATTGCTGTTACTGTCCAAACTCTTGTATTGTTTCATAGAAAACAAGGAAACAAAAGACAACTCTCTAAAGAAATCCCCCACCACATCTAAAATGGAGTTCTACCCATGTTGGCAAACATTGCCCTTTCCTGCAAAGCAGGGAACACACAGCAGCCACACCCCTCACAGAGACCCTGCCTTCAGCCACAAACAGCTACAGCTCTTCTCCATGTCATTTAAGCCAGATGGACCAACCTGAAGCATTAGCTGCTGTTACTGTCCCAGTCCCATCTGTCAGGAAACAGGGCTTTAACTTTGACATTGTTTCCAGGCTGCTCCCATGTCGAGGGTGTTCATCTATTTTAACTTCTATAGGACCTGCAAAACAGAGCATTATGCTCACAAGAGCGTCTAATCACACAAACACATCTCAAACAGAAAGACAGCAAAAACAACATGCTGAGTGGGAATATACACCATATTCCTTTCAACCAACAAGGCATTCTTACACTGGAGACAGCTGCCAACTCAGGGCAGTTTAACAAGCAGCTGTAACCCTCCAGCTCCTTCTAGCAGGGCAGACAGCTCAGGTTTCCTAAGACAAACACTAGCAGCTAAAAAGCTGTCTAGTTATGCAAAAGTCAGTATTGTTCTTGCTGTTTCTAACCCAATACCTTCTCTTTCAGCAGAAGGCTGTATTTCAAATGATACTTCTGGTAATCTTGGTACAAAGAATAGTCAAATGTGATTGAATATTATCATCTAAACTGGTATCATGAAATAGTTTGTAGCCAGCCTAAAGCCAGGACTTTTTCTGTTCAATGGAATTGTTGAAGAACTGATTCTTGATTTTTTTGGAAAATTCAGTTTTTGCATCTACCTCACAAGGAACTGGGGAATTCCCCTGTTCAAGAAACAGACCTTGGCTCAAGCATTGTGACAGGTCTGTTTATATCCCTCACAAACCTAAAGAGAAGCATACCCGTTATGTGTAACCTGACTACATAATTAACTAGTAACCCTAATTACTGTCACTCTGTATTTTACTAGGTGGGCAAGGTTTGCCAGAACAATATGACTGTTTTAAGTTTGGTGCAGCAGGAGTCTTAAGAAAATGAAAACCACTGATTTTGGTACCATATCTAAGCCTATGTTAAGTCAGTGCTTTGTCTAAGTTGTTATTCTATCTCCAATAAACACACTATTACTATTTGCAGAAAGCTACACTGAGGTATTCCACATTTGCATTGCTTCTCTCTTATTTAAAATATAACCACTGAAAGCTGAAAGAGAGCAACAGGCCACATGCTTACAAAAAGGCTGTATAAGTGGGAAAGCACCCACTGATTACAGGAGCCATAGCAGAAAACAGATTTTTTTCCTTAAAATCAGCTCTCATTATCCATTCACACCTACCTTTCTTAGAAGGTACAAGAACAGGAACAATTTCTTTTGTAAAATAGCCAGCTTTCTGTGCTGCCTCTGCCCTGTTTTGTGACTGTACAGCAAGTTGGTCTTGCTCCCCTCTGCTGACTTGCCACTTCTTGGCCACATTTTCAGCTGAAACAGGAACAAAATGCAAAATGCCATCAGGAAATGCCAAAATTTTAAGTTGCAAAATTGTAAGCACAAAGGTAGTCATTAATGTTTGCTGTAGCAAGCAGCTGAGTTTGTTGAACCCTTTTCATTCCGATTTCCTCATTTTGTTTATTCATGACTTTCTACTGTATTTTCACATGAGGGTAAAAAGTTCCACGTGGAATCACCTCCCAGATGATATTATCAAATGAAAAACAAAAGCAAACAAGCTTTTGTAGTTTATTGCTTCTCTGAAGTACTATGCTCAGATCTCTCTACAGCCACTTCAGGAAAGGGAACCGCTCTGCAGTCACTCTGTTTCACAAGCAGGGTCTGGAAATGCAGTTGGCTGACCATCCCAGCCAGGGTGCAATAACCTGAAGCTGCAGAACCATGCATATCCACAGGGCACTTCACATAACTCCTCCCCACTGTAAACCTGTGCTGCTGAATGCTCCAGTCACATACAGGGATTATTTTATTTATATTTTTTCTGAAATTAAATTTCTCAGATGTAGAAAAGATGCAGAGAGATGAGCTCAGACAGAAGAAAAACCCAAAGCAGCAGCTTTACAAACAAAATGAAAAATGCCTTCAACACCTTTCAATATTATGTATTTCTTTCTTTCTTTTTCATGACTACAACATAAGGACAGCTTGAAACATGTTATTTGTAACTTCAGGTTTCTGAAATTTTGTCAGTGAATTCTTCCAGTTGACTATTTCATTTTATGGACTGTCATCACTTACCTGTTATGCCCATATGATACTGGTAAAAAGCATCTGTAAGACCATCAAAGATTATGGTGTCCTGCAAGGAAGCCTCTCCCATTCTGACCCCAGATCGCATGTGAATGACGTGAGGAGCCTGCAAAAGCATATTTTGAAAGGAGTGAGATGTTCACATCTCCAGTACACAATTCAGACAGACCCCTGCCTGCTGGCTGGAGGTAGCCATCCCAAACCCTGGCAGTCTCTCCAGCAGCCTGCTCTCCCTGTCCCTCCAGAGGCTGCCAGCTGGCATGCCATTTGGCCTGTGCATTCCCCTGGCAGCAGACCACCACACTGCAAGTGCTGCTGCCTCTCCACAGACCAAATCTGTCATTCCTGGACCACATGGCTGTAGCTCTCCCATCCTACTAGCCTCCTCCAGGTAGTTCCCAATTGCACTCTGCTGCCAGGGAATGTTAACACCTCTTTCAGCACAGGCAGCTGAGCCCTGGCAGAAGAGGTCATCTGTTTCTTGGGAATCAGATCACCAGCTCAGACCCATTCCTGAACACAGCCTTGGGATGAACACCTTGAAATAAAACTGCTTTGCTTTCTTTCCAAGCTCTAATTTCTTGACAAGCAATAACATTTTCAGTTATTCCTTCTCTGGGCTTCTTGCAATACAAAAGTCCTGTCTATTGTGCTATGTCACAGGAAAATCTGTAGGGGGATAGAATATAAGGAAATAAAGATAGTGTAGAAAGTAATCTTACCCCTAAGGAGCTGCAGCTGGGCCAATTTTCAAAGATTAGGAACAGGCCTGACTTTAACAGGCCACAGCTGTAACCAATGAGAAGAAAAGTGCTATAAAAGAGTGGGGTGGCTGGTTGAG